TGAGTGCTTATAAGGTTATTATGAGGCTACTGGAGAAGGAGTATGGGGTTAGGTGGGGCTGTGGAACTAGACCACCTGGGTTTCAGTCCTGGGGCCACCATTTCCATTCCTATGTGCTGCTTCTTATTTCCCATCTGGAAAATGAGAATCATAACAGTTACAGGGAAGATTCGTGTAAATGCCAAATAACTGTTAGCTATTATCGTCAATTGACCTAGAGTAGAAGGATCCAGTGTGACATTTAGGAACGGGAGCCACATAGGATCTCTGCAGGAGGCCGGCTGGTTGGTGAGGGTGTGAAAACTGCCTTGCAGAACTTTTGTTTGCCCTAATTAAGGCATTTAATCTGATGGCAAGATGACTCAGCTAGGAAGTGCTAAAGGCCCTCACTTATGTCAAGGGTTACAGAGTTGTTGGATCAAGTTTAAGGTCATGTGGGATCCTGGGGCAAGTCTGGGGCAGCCTGCTGGTGGTGCTTCTCATCACTTTTCCCGGCTTCTTCCTCCCCGGCAAGATGGGGTAAGTAGGGTTTGGATTAGGTCATCTCTCAGGTATCTTCTCTCTCTCACATTTTATGATCTTATCCTCTAAGCTTTAAATCTCTAGCAAATTTCCATTTCGACAGAAAGTCTGGAATCTAGGGTGTTTTTGATGAACGGAGACTCTAGCCAAACCAGTCAAATCATGAAATGACACTGAACCTTCTATTTCCTCATCCATTAAACTGAAATGAGAGTACAACTGATTTCCCAGGGCTTTTGTGAGAGAGACATGAGGTCATACGTGTGAAAGCACCTTGTCAGATGTTACGGCGATTGTTGCCACAGCTGGGTTACCACTTTTCCAGGAATTAGAATATAAGAAAAATACTGGTAAGCCCTGAAGTCTATTTAAAGTAATGTGATCTGTTCTCTGTGATTCAGAAGATCCTTCAGGAAGTTACAAAATCACAGCATCCGTATCTCGAGCTTGGAGTAGTTCTGTAACAAAAGGGTCCTGGCTACTTGTCATCTTTGGTGTTTAGAATTCAAGTGAAATATGGGGCCTCTTGACCACATTAACCCAGAAGGGACAGAGAGCACATAGGATGAGGCCCTCATTCACAGATGGAGGTACGGCGTAAAGAGAAACTGTCCAGGCTCACATGTTAATTGATGGCAGATCTGAGAGTAAAACCCAGGCTTCCACCCCCAGCATGCTTTTCAAATGTGAGTTTGAGCAAGTGAGAATCAGGACATAATGAATGAAGGTGGCTATTCCTTTGAGCATGCACTAGAAGAAATAGTAAAAGGAAGTTTAACAGTCTGCGTGTGTTCAAAGGGTATGGCACAGTGAACTTGACTTGACCCACATGGGATGAAAAAATATGTGGTGGAATTCTTAGTAATTTTCTTAATCATAGCAATTCCTTTCTTAGGAAATTCCTTTCAGATATGCACTAAATTAATCAGCATTAAAAATGCTGTCGTAGGGTTCTCCCCGGCTTGCTGTGTACATGGGGTAGCATCGCATATCTGCAGAAGGAAGGTCTTTTTTTTTTTTCCACTAATTATCATTACCATCTATGTTCTTCAGCTTTGTTGAGGTGAAGCTGCAAGAGAGAAGTGAAACAGGTTTTGTGTTCCTTCCTCTTGCACTTGCAGCATCTACTGCATTAGCCGGTATGAGCCATGCCATTCCGAGATCAGATTCCCGAGCCAGCGAGCAGAAAAGGCAGCACTGCTTCCTGGAGGCGTGAAAAGCAGGGATCCACCTCCACCTCCTTCCCCTTCCATCTACAGAACTATTTCTCCAGGGATCTACAGGTTTTTTGCTCTGTGGGTGACTTGAGAAATCCTCCACGGATTAAATCTTATATGGGAAGGATTCCATCTCAAGCTCAGGCTTTGCTGAATTGCTAATAAATGCTGCACGTCAATCAGAACTCAGAATCTGGGCAATGCCTGGTAAGCGTAGTGTGGTGGGTGCCAGCACGACTCTGAAACCAGTCTGCCTGGGTTTGGATCCCTCTGCCATGTGACCTTCAGCAAAGCCCTTCAATGTGCTTGTAGTAGTTGTGTTAGTGCTAGGTGCTAGCTGAGCTTAGAAAGCCCTAAAATAAATGAAAAGATCCTGATTAGACAGAGTTGCCTCTGGCCTAAGACTCCATTCTTTTTAGATGCTCTAACACACCAGGCCTTGGGCCCTAGGGTCGAGAAGAGGCTCCTTTTCCTCCGTTAGAATTGGAAAGCACATCCTGCTTCACAATCTTTTTATTCTATAAAGAGGAAATAGCAGTGGGACTTGACCAGTTTATCAAGCTTCTGTCTAACAGGGTCAGCGTGTCCACCTCTCACTTGATGCTGATGAAGAGCAGCAACCCTAAGAAGTTTTACTGGGTGGCCTTTAGCAGGTAGCTTGCTCTGTCCACTTTTGTAAAATGGCCAGGATCGCACGGTATCCCCTGAACCCTCTCTGGGTGCCTTTTGCCCACAAGCCCGGAGCCTTGGCTTGGGGTCTTTGGAAGGGGGTTTCCGCCTGGTGGCTCTGCTTGCTTCAGGGGCTGGGCTGTGGGAGAAGTTAATGGGAAGTGAAAAGAGAAACTTGTTTGTAACCGGCAGGGCTGTTTGGAGTGTGTGACTCTTCTTGTATTTAGGGAAAAGATTACTCATGAGTATTTTCTTCCATAGACTATAAAGAACCTCAAATTACTACTTGCATCCCCCACCCCCTTCTCACCCGCCTCCTGCTGTTTCAGTGAATCTTCTGCAGAAACTTCAGCATTTTACTCTCATTTCCCCTCCTGAAGGGATTCGGTTCTCTATTTGCACTTCCAATAAGCCACCCCATACTTTTTCCTGTTTCTAACTGACTATCTCCTGAGGGTGGTCTTCTCACCTCCCCCAAAGACTCCCCCAGGCCAAGCTTGACTGGAACCTCACTGTCCCCTATGACTGGCTGGACCTGTACTCCTGTGTGAAGGAGAGGAAGGGAAAAGACCCAAATAACAAGTCACCAAGCTGTCCCTGCTCAAAGGTGACATGGTTGACACTAGGAAGTAAACTTAAGGGGCTTTCACCAGTTTCCAAGCTGAGATTTTGCTAAACCCACACTCTCTCCCACCTGTGACTGCTGATACATGTTTTCAAGGTCATTGGAACGAGTGGGGCCATTTTCCAGGGACCATTTTTAATAGGCTTTGCTTCCTGGCCCAGCCAGGAATCTAAAACAAAATCTTGACGTCTTTTCGTGGCCATGTTCTGTAACGAAGATAGTAGAGCAATATTGCTATCCCTGAATGCCACTTCCTTTTCATGGATCATGAAACTTGAAAACCGAGGAACACTCTTCAATGCCCATCTCTCGTTATTCCAATCACATAGCTCCTTCTTGGTGCCCTCCATGATGGACCAGTTTCAAGGGGCTTTCACAACATTCGAGAATGTCAGATAACTATTCTTCAAAACTACACTTTGCAAAGGTGCCCCAGGTAGACAGAACTAGAGGCCCTGGACCATCTCCCGGGACCCATGCCATTCTGTTCCTCCACCAGGAAGAACAGCCCATCCAAGGAAACCAGACCATTCTTTGTCATGCCTGATTTAGGGACAGAATGTGATTCCAGGACCAAGCTGAAGGACACTTTTATAGCACACTTATGGAGGCGCCTTACCAAATTTAAGTAACTAAAAAGAGTCTGAAGCTCCTCTTAGCAAACACTGTTTCCATTGTATTCAAACAATTAATTAATTCACAAAATATGACTTTAAAGAACAAAGCCCTATCGAGCATCTAGCCTCAGCTAACCATTGCTTCTCAAACATTTTGGCCTCAGGACTCCTTTTGATTCTTAAAATTATTGAAGACCCCAGAGAGCTTTGCTCACAAGGGTTGTATCTATATTTACCACGTTGGAAATTGAAACTGAGAATTTGAAAAATAACAAGCCAAGCACATATGAGCATAATTATATACTTATGAATATATTTCCCCAAACAAATTTGATGACAAAGTGGCATTACTTCGTATTTTTGCGTGTCTCTTTAATGTCTGCCTTCATAGAAGGGTGTGCTCCTCTGCTGTCTGCAGTACCACATGCCATGTAGTCTCTGGGAAACTCTGCTATGCCCTTGTGAAAAACCAAGAGTGGAAAAAAGGCAAATAACCTCTTAATATTGAGCAGGGTTTTGACATCATAGACACCCTAATGGGCTCCCAGATCAGACTTGGAGAATGACTGTTCTAATATTTGAATGATATAGCAAAGATTCCCCAGGCCAGGGGCCTGGTGGGGAAGACAAGGCACATAGTCAGGCTTCCAGAGATCCAGCCTGAGCCACCCAGCGCCTCTGCCGAGGCCTCCTTTGGCCCACTTCTGGTCCTGTCAGAGTCCAAGTACCACCCCACCCGGAAGTGCTGACATCCATCGGCGAGCAGGCCTTTTATCCTTACCTTGCCCTCTTGTTCCCAGAGGCAAGCCTAATAGTTTCCCAGAGACTGAGTGAATTGCTCTTCCTGGAAGAAGTTTCAGGGAACACTTCATTATTTGGCAGCTCTGGAAGGTCAAGCCCAGTTCTGGAACGGTCTCACTTCAAAGGACACTGGGCTGCAGTCAAATCAGCTCTGATTCAGGTCCCGGGGAGGCACCCTGGCTTTTGCTTGATTCTGAGCCCCCTCGGGTGCTGCTGGCCACCAGAGAGCTGCAACTTTCCAGCGACCTAGAATCCAAACAGACTCTGGAGCTGGGCAAGGCAGGACAGGACCCCAAGAGCTCAAAGAAAGAAAAAAAAAGGCTTTCCCCCACCCCCTTCTCATGTTGCCTCTAAGTAGCAAGTTCATCTGCCACACACTTGAATGCTTGGGAAGCTGGAGTTTTAACCTGGGATTCCAAATTGAACAGAAGGGCTCTTCAGACATGGAGACTCAATTTTGTTAATCATTCAGAAATCTTTTCTCTTTATTCCAACTGTCTAACTGACAAGACATTTTTCTCTCTTTCTGCCCCGCTCTCTCACCCGCAGGCTTGCAGCCAATGTACTGGAGCAGGGATGACGTAGCCCAGTGGCTCAAGTGGGCTGAAAATGAGTTTTCTTTAAGGCCAATTGACAGCAACACGTTTGAAATGAATGGCAAAGCTCTCCTGCTGCTGACCAAAGAGGACTTTCGCTATCGATCTCCTCATTCAGGTGAGAGTCTGGCCTCTTGACGTGTGCTCAGCGTGGAAAGCCTGTGAGCCAGTGAAAAGCCTGTGAGCCTCCTGCAGAAACTTCAGGAGCGTGGAAAGCCTGTGAGCGTGGAAAGCCTGTGAGCCTCCACTCCCTGCTCCTGAGGCATCTCCACAGAAGGTCCCAGGAGCTCAGGGGCACTTAGTAGAGGAGAAAGGTCCTGCTGACCTCAGCCAGTTGGAGGAGAAAGAGGAAGTATTTCTAATTCAAGGGGAATGTGTGAAAGTTGGAGGTGGCCAACTGGGACTCCAGTTGCTGGACCCAAAAGGATCCAGTTGTGATACCAAATTAAGGAAGAAAATGTGCTCGTCCCTTTCTTGCTCCTGATTCTGAGACTCATCATAGAGATGCTTGAGATTGAGTGTAGGTTGTGAACTCCTGGCCTACAAGCAAAGACAGGAGAAGAGGGGGCTGAGCACTGCCGTGGAGGGTGGGCAGGGGTGCAGCAGTGAGGGAATTGGAGGGAAAGACTGGAAAATGTGGAGAGCCTCGCAGCCAAGGCAGTTAGCAGTCACAGGCCTTCAGGTGATTTCCTTTGGAAGTACTGAATTTGGTGAAGTGGTGCCTCTTGTAACCTGAACCAGTCCTGAAAAATGCACGTGGGAGTTTCTTCAGGCCCATCTGACTGGGAAGATTTGTCAGAAGGGCCCTTAAGAGCACATGGGGAGATTTAATTCTCCAAGGAGGGATGTGCCTGTGGAGTGCTTGGCTGACGGAGATAGAGGCTTCACGTATACCTTCCAATTTCACTTCTTAAATTTTATGGGTATTTAGGAGAAAGCTTTGCAGGCCCCCTGTGTCAAGGGAGAAGTTTGGTCTTGGGTTTTTATGACTTTCGAGGGGTCACGCAGGTTCCAACAGCCCTCTTGTCTGGTCTCATCACGGGACAGGCACTTGGATGTGACTTGCCTGGCAAAGACCCTTTTTTCCTTGACAAAGGGCAGGGTTCCTGCATGCGATGTTGGCGCAGTCCCTGTTCAACCCTTATTTACTCCTGGAGACCTTCCAGAAACTCATAAACTAACCGTCAGGAGGGAAGGCTCCCCATCACAGGGGGAGAGATAAGGATACAAAGCACTGTCTCCCCAGCTTCTCCCAGTTGCAGAACCTTTCTATGAGGAAACACTAAAGGGGAAATCACCCCCAGAAGTACAGATGTTGTTGAAACTTGAAAGCTTATATCTCTGAGAACCAGATAATTCATACCAGGTTATTTTATAAAGGACGCAACACACCTAAAACATTTTATCTCGAGTCATCGGTTCTCTCTGTAGTCTCACAGTAAGAAAACGGTAAAACAACCATCCAAATAAATAAAACGAACCTCAAAGGAACCTAAGTAGTTCCTTTCAATTTCATGCAAAAAAGCACTTCCCTTTCTGGTTCCAGTGGCAACTCAAGACTTTGCACTCAATGAGGCAAAGATACCTATCTGGAGGGAGAGGACCTGAGGCTGAATGGGAAACCCTTCACAGGAGGCAAAGAAGGACACCCCTGGGCTTTGCCTAGATTTCACGTAGGCCTCAGACACGCTTTCCTCCCGAGTCTTTGTCTTTCCCCCGCATACATTCTCAGGTGCTCCTTTGGATTGCTGGCTTATTCTTCATTCCAGTGACCTCTCAGCCATCCTTAGGAAAGTAGGTTTCTCTGCTCAAAGCTGAAGGAAAGATATGCAAAGGTTTTGCCTCTTCATCAAGTCCTTTTTTTTTTAAAGATTATTTATGCATACAAGAACTGGGGTACAGGCCAGAGGTGTGGGAGCAGGGGGTAAGAAGATTCACCAGAGACGGTGGGGAACAGAACAAGCAGATCTGCAATACACTGAGGGGAGCAGCAGGCAAGACAGGAAAGGTCTGTGCCATGTGGGTAGCTCCCTGGCCGGATAGCTTCACAGTGCTATGCTTTACCTTGCGCCACCAGGTAGGCCCTCTTTCTCAAGTCTTGACCAGACAAGACAAGTTGCCCAGCAGGAGAGGCAGAAATTGCACTGAACCCAAAGGCAGAAGGAAGCTGGGCTGAGGGGCAGTGCACAGGTTGGGGGGGGGTTGGCCTTGGGAGGAGGAATGGACTTGGTCTGAAGCACAAAGGATGGGTGAAATTGAGTAGGTGAAGGGAAGAGGGTGAACATTCCAGGTTAGTGGCACAGTTTTAGTCTAGAACAGTCAGGGAGTGGTGAGGAAGCCCAGTTGACCAGTGTCTGGGGCAGGAAAGATATGTCGGTCCAGACTCAAGGTGCTGAGGACCGTTGTTAGGTGGTGATCAGGGAAATTTGTTCCATGAGTATTCACTGAGCAGAGGTCCACAAATAAGGGCCAAGGGAGCTGAGGGATAGGAGAGGCTCTTTCTAACTGGTTTGTCAAACTTGGCTCAAGGGCGAGGGGGTGGAACCAGACTTTGAAAGCATTGAAAAGTAAACAGGAGAAAGGGAAGGGAAGTTGTTGGGGAAACTGTTGGCCAGTTGGTATGGACAAGGACTTCAGAGTCAAGGCCACACAGGCTAGACCCTGCCTGCGCCCTATAAATGCTGCTTTCGTCACTCAGCACCCCTCCCTCACTTGTCTAATTGCCTTTCATATTTCAAGTTCTGCCACTTTCTCCAGGAAAGTTCTCCCTGACTCCCATTCCTGCTTCCCTAATTCCACCCACCCACCTTCCCTCTACCTCTCCCCACCTCGGTCTGGTAGATGCTGTTCCTTTTGTTGTTGTTATTACTGTAAATTCAATTTATTTTAAATTGAAATGTAAATATATTTACATTCATTTTGATTTTATTTATATTTTATTACTTATTTTATTAAAATGATTGCTGATTTTTTTCCCCACCAGCATCCCTGTATCCCCTCATCCCTTTCTCCCTCAGCTTCCTACTTAACCACAGAGCCCTCACTACTTTTTTTTTTAAGATTTATTTATTTATGGATACAAGAACTGGGGTACAGGCCAGAGGTATGGGGGGCAAGAGGATTCACCAGAGACAGAGTGGGGAACAGAACAGGCAGACTGACTGAAATACACTGCTGAGGGGAGCAGCAGGTGAGACAGGAGAGGTCTACTGTGCTATGTGGGTAGCTCCCTGGCCAGGGATCAAACTCGTGCTGCAGAGACTGGGGTCAGCTTCATAGGTTGCATCCCAAGCCCTTGCGCCGCCAGGGAGGCCCAGAGCCCTCACTGCTTTTATTAATGCCACTTGCTTTTGTTAAGTATTTTGCTTTGTCAAATCATCCATTATATATAAATGTTTGATATTTGTTTTTGTCATTCCAAGTTGCTATACTACATATAATTCCCTTGAACTCCCTCCTTTTTGCTGTAAATAGCTGCATTTCATCTTTCTGTATGCCAGAATAGTATGTGATTGTGTTTCTGTGTTTCTCTGTTCTCTGTCCCCTACCTAGAGAAAAAAGTTCTATTTGAGCAGAACTTGTCTCCTGTTAAGCCGCCGTGTCCCCAGCATCTAGCACAGTGTGTGGCATCCAGCTGACACTGAGTGAACATTGGTTGAATTCTGACTACGTCTGTTGGGTAAATTATGACCCAATTTCTTAACCTGAGCTTACCTTCTCTAGGGAGTTAGACATCTTAAGCCCAAATTTAAAAGTTTGGATTTTATTTGGCAGGTAATAGGAAAACCACAGAAAGGTTTTGATCAGGAGAGTGATAGGATGGGAGCCCTCCCTTTGAACAAATATTTGCCATCGGTGGCTATGAGGGATTCACTGAATGTCTCCAGGCAGGAAGCTGGTTCAGATGCTACTGCTACAGTCCTAACGCAAGATGTTGAAGTCCAGTATTGGACTAGTTGGACTAAAATAATAGTTTTTCAGGCACAAAATGGTTCACTGAGGTGGAAAACTGGCTAGAAGTAGTTGCCAGGTCATGCAGACAGATGTGCCTTGTTCTATAATAGGAAATTTGAGACAAGAGCCAGAGCAAACAGATAAAAGCATCGTCCTCATTACATTGAGCTGAGATACAGATAAAAGGATGCTGTGAGTAATTAAATGAAGGCCTCACCAGAAGCCGTGGACAGAATTTCACAGTGGTACCTGCAAGACTTACACAAGACTTATCACGAAACAGAGGAGTATTGTCAGGGAGCTTGAAAGACAGAACTAAGCAGGAGTTAAGAAGACCCTTCTCATGGAGTGGCTGGCCCTGTGGCTGGGTTATGAGACGATCTGCCTGTCGGCCTTTTCTTTAACTAGAGACAAGGCATGGTCTAAAAATCTCTGTTCCCTCTCAGATGTAACATTTTTGCCACTGCTGCTTCTGACACAGGCCTTTGTTACCATTTGGTGTGGTAGACATTCTCGTTCTGCATGTGGCTCTTCCAAAGGTCATTTCCATTGTTGTTTTCCTCAGAAAAATTGGAATTTACCATAAAATTGGATGCTCCTTTCAACTCTTAACAATTCTTCCCAACATCAACCACTGAAACTGTGCTAACTTCTAGTAGACAGAGCAACCCCCCCAACCTCCAGGCAGTGAGTAGGTAACTGCCAACCTACAGTGAGTAGGTAACTCTGGGTCTTGGAAAGCATAAAGGTCACCCAATTTTTCCTCCATCTTCCCTTGAATCTTTTCTGCTGCCTGAGAAAAATCAGCAACAACTTCTTACTCATCATGGGGCAGCCAGAATAAAACCAAAGGGCCTGGTTGCCCCGGATGTTTATAGCTTCTTCCTGGCTTCATTTCCTGCCTGGTCTGAACCCAGAGTGATGTTCTCTGTCCGTGGAAATAACATTCCTTGACACAACTCACCTCAAAGGTGGAAAGAACAGAACTCAGTGAATGATGATTACCTGAAATATTAATAAAGCTTAGGTCCAAAGGCCGTAGTTTCTCTGAGCTCCACATTCTTCAACCAGTTTTAACATACTCAGCTTGTCCATTTTGAAGACAACGGTACTCTATTTTCAATCATTAGAATAAAGCAGGAAACATTTGAGATGTGCTTTAAA